TTGCGGACCTATGGCAGATGCACACTGTCCCTGGAGCAAGTGATCAACCTTGAGGCGTCCCAACGTCTCTTGCAACGCTACGCTCATGTTCATGACTACATCATGACGACTTTGAAGAAGCTCGTGAAAGACCGGGCGGCACATGCGGCCGAAGAGCACCCGTACACAGTTCAAAATGGTCGGATCGCATATGATCTCGCTGGGCTCGATCAACCTTCAACAAGCACTTTTTATGGATATGAGACTCAATACGCCTATCTGACCGAAGAACACCGTGCCGACGAGCCGAACACGATTCAGTCGAAATTTGCCTTACATGCGAATGCAGGCAACTTCAGCTTTTTCAAGATGATTCAGAACTTTGATGTGGTCGGTGGCCTTTCGGGAACACTGCCCGACGACATGACAGTGCTGAAGAGAGAACTCAATGTTCAGCGATCGACGGCCTTACCCAGCATGTACGGTGAACACAAATTGCGGCGTGATCGTGTGCAGATTGTTGCAGACTCTGATCGCTTGCATCAGCAGGTCGCGGAGGAGTGCTTGAAGCAATCCGAAGGTCGCGCTGTGATTGCTTTTTTTAAGGATACAAAGGACTTGCAAGCGTTCATGGCATCCACCCCGTTTAAAAGCCAGCTGGCAGGCCTGACAATCAACATCATCGACAAGGACCAAGCCGACATACCGCAGCGCATCCACCAGGCTACCAATGCGGACACCGTGACACTGGCAACAGCCCCTTTTGGCCGTGGCTCGGATTTCGTCGTATTGGACCGCAACATTATCGACAATGGCGGCGTGCACGTGATTCAGACGTTCTTGTCACAAGATATTGCGGAGGAAATCCAAATCCAGGGGCGTACGGCGCGTCACTCCAACCCAGGAAGTTACCGTTTGATCCTATCATTGCCGGATCTGAAGCGTCTACTCGGCTCTGACTTGCTCAATTCATTGACGGAGGGTGCATATGAGGGTGTGCCTGACGTGCTTGATCAAGCGCGGCGCAATTTGCACAAGGAAACTTTGAATAAGTTGTTTGACAAGTTGAAGGCTTGTGAGGGTAGCCATGCCCGTTCGATGCAATTCATGGACGCACTCTTCGCCGGACCCGAAGGCAATGTACAGGAAGCCATCCAACTCTTCTTGAGTCACAACTAAAGTCAAAGTCCGAAAAA